ACTGTGTAGACCTGTGGAAAGTTAATGACTGGATCGATCCAGTGCAACAATCTCTGGGCATGCATGCGGACATATGGGAACGACGGCTAGTTGCTACGAGCCATCTAATCACTGTAGTTTACAAGCAGGATGCTGCGTCCGAGTTAACGGCGTTAAGTCGAAACCATTCAGTGTTCGCACTGGTCTCCGCCAAGGCTGCGTCCTGTCCCCTATCCTGCTTGTGTTGTACATGGATAGAATAATCAGGAGCTGCCAAGGCGGTGAGGGTATCAGTGTAGGAGATGCGAAGTCGAGAAGGTTGCTGTTTGCAAAAGACCTTGTTTTATTAGCATCTTCTGAAACTGATCTTCAGTGCTCCATGAAAAGGTTCGCATCTGAGTGCGACGTGGCTGGCATGCGTGTAAACGTTTCTAAAACGAAAATCTAGTGCTTTCTCGTTCTCCTATCCGTTGTTCTCTTCGGACTGACGGAGAAGCAGTGGAGCAGGTGAAATATTGACGTATCTATGGGTCTTATTTACTGGTGGTGGAAAATTGGAGGAGAAGGAAGAGGTCGACCAGCCGCTTGGAATCACTATTGGTGTTCTGCGTGAACTGGATCGAACCGGTGTGCCTAAAGCTGAATCTGAAAGCTTATCTCTCTGTGCTGAAATCGGTCTTCATCCCCATGCTCTGCTATGGTCACGAATCGTGAGCCATCGCCAAAAAATTTCAATCCGAGGTACAAGCAGCTTAGATGGGTTTTCTGAGATGAATCGCTGACCTCTCGTGTCCCAAGTACGGATATTCGAAGGAGCCTTGTTTTACGCTTCTCCAGATTAACAAGTCACGGATTCGACGGTTTATGCACATATTACGATTGTACTCAGAAAGGAATGCGAAGGAGCTACTACTTGCGAAACAGACCGGCAGAAAAACGCCGGATAAAAATCAAGGGCTGAGGATAGCCTGTGGCAAGTGTATGGAGACTCCATCTTCTGCCGAAGCTCAGACTCTGGCACAGGATCGGGAACGTCAGAGATACTGCTTGACGCGTTTGCCTCAGCGACCCAAGTGGATAAGCAACCATCAAAACCCACTGACAGAGTGATTGACTGAGATTATTCGAGTTGCTAAGGGCGAGACAGATTCCGCATTATCAATGCCTTCACGAAGTATTCCATATGCAAAACAAACTAACTCTGTGAAGGAGTTAACATTGAGATCATAATTTCTTTAATATTTATTTGATGTGATTTTGGTTACAACGTTTTTCAGTCATGCGAGGCTGTCGCGATGCCAAAGATTTTCGATACCCGGGTGGGAAAGTTTTCAGGATCGATAAAGGTGAGAAAAAATGTTTTATGCATGATGCAGTTACGCTAAAATTATCTGATCATCTTTTGAACTTTATTGCTTTGCTGCTGCTAAACAAATGCAATAGGCTAATGTCAAACATTAAGAAGACTCGATGTTGAGTGATAAGTTAACTATGTTTTAAACAACTTCCCATTCAAGCGAAGTTATCGATTTCTGTTGGTCCACTTCGATAGATATTAAGATGACCTTTTATCTTTCCATATGAAGTTTTAGTCATGGCATTTTTTAAGGAGGTTTGTCTTAAGGGCTTTAAGATATTAATCAATATTTCAATTTCCGTTGATTCTTCAGTTCATCGTTTATTGTTCACGACAAGTAAGGATAGCAGCAGTCGTAGAAAAATTTGCGGTGCCATGTGACCTTATCATTTTGTCTTTCATCGTTGTTTATGACATGAATCTATGACTGATTGGTTCTGGATACGTCAGTATCAACAGAGCTGGCATTATTGATGTTACTCGATGGCATGAGTGTTGTCGAAAGCATGTACACAATCTGGCGATTATTTGAATTAAATTGAAATACATCGTTGTGGTACTGGACTCATAGAAACCTCCATCCTGCCAGAGCAATCAGCTGCGGATACCAAGAACAAACTACATGTTCATGATGAGACACCGTATAAGATCGAAAACGTGCCATCTGTATCCCTATGTCCTCCATAAAAACATTAAATTTATTCTACACTTTTACCATTATTTTAGTTGTACAGTAACCGTGTGCATAAAGAGTCTACTCCATTATTGATCGAATCCTATTGGTAGCTTTTCAGGAGTTTGAAAAATTGAAAGAGCACCTGTGTCCGGCGTTCGCACCTGCATCAAACCTCGAAAGTTGCCTGATGTCAGTTGTGGTCGGCGAATCTTTCACGGACATGTCCGTCTTCACCTTCGTCACTTCCTCGCCGGCGGTTGCTGAAGTACAGTTTAGAAGAAGGACTCACTTTGTCAAGCATAAAATGTACTCAATGCCTTTGTAGGAGTGGTCTTCAGAAATTTTCGAGCTTTCGCACGACGTACGATGGAAAAACCCAGGCATCATTCTCTTGTTGGATTTGAGGCTGGGCAGCTTCGTGTATAGCCATTCGAGGAACGAAGTTACGTTGAAGGACGTGATCGATTTGTTCGCTACGCACAAGGAGGACCGGAAAAATGTGCAGGCTGCTTTGGAACAGTCGGGATTTGCCACTCCCGCCGATGACAGTACGAGCAAGCTGAAAAACATGAATTTTAGAAGATTCGAGAACTTCTTTATGCTTTATCGTCTAATGACGAATCGTACCGACGTGTCGGAAATATTTCTACAAATGTGAGTGTATTTTTAAACGCTGAGGGCATTCCCCAACACTGTTCGACGTTTATTACCTGCAAAGAGGCTATACGAACCGATTCGAATATAGGCAATGACATGTACGCGGATTCTAGGGAAGCTACATAGCAGATAGTTAAGTGATGAATATAGCAGCGGATGAATATGGGTTCAAATTACTGCGCATGCAACCTATAGTGTTTCCCGGCATGACGGCTATAACACCCGAGTCATTGCAAATGCGCTTGAGGTCTGTCAACGTGGAAGCCACGTAAAGGGATGTTGGTCGGTTACAGTCTGCATGATCCCTGATATTTCGTACATTTCCATTATATCGTTTATGCCTTAACAGAAATTGTTTATAACTGTTTCCCTTTGTAGACTGTGCCAGACTGTTGACTTCATTGGCCGTAAGAAATACAGGAATTTATGAGGTGAAATTTCTGCCGTTCACCGTCTGTATACTGGGATACTGTGTGAAGAACGCTAGTAAACCTACAGTATCGGTATCAACCGTAGGCTTCATGAATTTCTCATGAATATTCATGACATGATTGATTCTCAGCGATTTCCAGCTTCAGAGAGACTACTTCAGGTTGAGGAAAACGCAATTTCTGTTGAGGAAAGGACAACTGTAAACGATGGATACAAAAAGCGCGTGGTAGCGACTTTCCTAAATTGTAAACGGTGGTAGAAAAGTCATCATCTCAAGGAACCAGTTTGGTCTTACACGAAGTTTTCAAAGAATTAGTTTTCACTACCAAGATGCTGCATTAAAATACTTAATATGCTGCACGGAGTCGAGAAATCATCGTCTGATGATTATTTAACTATTCATCGTCTGAATCTGATTACTCCTAGGATGATGTGATGATTGCAAAATCTATTTCTGATGATCCTATTAACACGTTCATGAATAGACTTTGCATATAGTTCATATACTTACCGATTTATCATGTTGATTTATTTGTTTACTGATTTTTTAGTACATTTCTTTAACGTTATCTCTTTTCCTTCTGAGCTTTCAGTGATGACCATCCTGTTTTCAACTTTCAGTGAATACTGAATTTCTTTCCTGATTTTATTCATGCAATATACTTCATTCATGGCTTCGTTTATTCAAACACTGATTCGCTCAATCAGGTATTCGTTCGTTTGCCTTCTGAGGACTATTCAGCTCTTCTTTTTTGCTCTCCCAAGCCAAAGTTGTGAAGACTGAACAACGAAAAACGGTAAACAGGTTCCCTGAACATTATTAATATGGAGTTATACTAATCTTTTGATAGTTTGATGCAAGACTTAAGAACGAGCGAATAGAAACCAACTCTTGCTCTAGAAGAACATTAATTCTGTTTTAAAACGTACTATTTTTCTTGGGTTTCTGGTAACGTTACTTTGGATCTTTCCAACGACCAGCAAACTAAGCTCTTTGGACTGCACCGGAAAGCGTAGCAGCATGAGATGCCCAATATGCCCAAGCAATGTGGTCATGCATCAGTACATCCATAATCATTTGTCATACTGCCTTGCCAAGCGGTCTCACATCGCATATCTTTCACGTAAAATCTTGATCGGGTGCCACATTAAAATCAGCTCAAGTGTGACCTCCCAGTTTGAGGAATGAGCGGTTCATAGGCAATGAAATATAAGGCTTCTCTTTCCAAAGTACTTCCAGCCTAGTTGCATCAGTAATCCTCAAGAACACACAAGAGAAGAATAAAAGAATTAATTCTGGACGGAGCATGAGAAGCAAAATCTGAATATCTACTGTTTAGAGACTATGTCGTCAGGAGGCTCGTTTCAGGTGTTACTATGAGAAAGATCGCTATAGTGCCGCAACGAACGATTTGAAAATGAGCTGATGTCCAAAAGTCCAAAATTTAATGGTTTGAGAACCACTGCATTAAAGCTTCTGAGCAGAACATGAAGACTGCCCTTCCTCTCTATAGAACTGCATGGTTTGATACATGTTTACCTCATTTTATCATTTTCATATAAGAGCTGGATGCTCAGTGTTTTCTCTCACAGTCGTACAATTAAAGAAACTCGAGGTTGTGGAAAACAGAGAACGGATTAATGGGCATCGCCCGCAGGCTTGGTGGATTTTCTGCGGTCACGACGAATGACAAGGTTATTTCACTCAGTTCATATAGTACGGTAGCCGCGGAACAACAATGACGTACCAGACCGATGGCTACTGAAAACCATTTGATTCAGCTTTCTATAAAACATTATCCATCTTCATCATGCATAAAATCAACTGAATATGACCAAACGTCAAAGCAAATGAAGTGACCATTAAAAGACACTTGTAAAAAAATAAGTGCAGACCCAGGAAGTTTTTCAACGATCAGGTGGGTAAAATGCATATTGTGGGTCATGACGGTGCTGATTGCGCTGAAATTTCTGATTGTTTACAATTTAATTAGAGGCAATGAAGAATAATTATTAAAAAATGATGTAATGAACGAATGAATACAGAAATGGAGTAATGAATGAATAAATAAATTTCACAACGAACATAGAAATGAATCAATGAAGAAACCTTTAACTTAAAACTAAAAAAAAATCAGTGGGAAGCAATTTCAGAATAAAATCACGCTTCTGAATCTTTGTTGATTTGCTGCGTGCATTACCATACTCAAATCATGTATTTAGATCTCACGTCAAAAGAAAGAAATCGGAAACCCTGCACGTGCGAAGTACAGAACCGTCGATCGACGCTTTTCAGCTGATGCATTTTCTAAACACGACTCAGCGAGATTCGCGACTGAATGATATTCTTCATCCGTACTGTTCAGAGACGGTCGCTTTGAAACTTATCCGCAAGTACGAGCCGGACGAAGCCTTCAGTTCGAAAGGTGCGAGGATGTTTGTGAAAATGACTTAAAGCTGACCCTAGAAAATTATTAAATTTCTGGCCGTAAAGCAGTGTTTTATAATGCATTAATCAACGAATTTTGTTTTTCACGTGACAATAAAACTTCGCTTTTATAGATTTAAATATAAAGTGCATTTGTCATATTGACATGGTTTAAAATCATCGGTCATATTTTGGCATCTAATGGTAATTTTCATTGCTGTATTTATTGCGTTCTTCCTTTTGGCCTTGCGGAATGTTTCGTTGATTAAACAGCTTGTAACAAATACCATTCCAGCGGATGACAGGGAACCGACATATTTCGGAAATTGTAGAGATGCAGGACGTGGACATGAAATAAGCGTCTTATCTGATGACTATTTTTGTGATTTTACTGAACGCGCTCAGCCACAAAACAGAATTTGGGAAACTCGGTCCTACAGCAAGCTCCTGTTGAAACAAATGCGTTAAGTAGAAAGAGATATATGTCATTTTCATTTCCGTTAACCATACTATAATCTGCTCCATTTGACACATTCCGTTATGTTTTCGTTGATATGCTTGTATTGTAGCTTTTCAAACCGATGTGATAAATATCCTGCAATCTCTAATATCGTTTTGAGAAAATTTCTAGATTATCAATGTAAGACCAAGTGGCCAAAGAGATTTATTTATGAATAGGCTCTTAAACCGGCCTAGAATCTCATCCTGTTGTTTTGAACTTCCTGGGATAGCTGTGAATTAGCTATTTTTTTACTTGCTGACTACCTGTGTTGCTAAAACCATCTTCGTCATCGATTAGGTCAGTTATAAATAAAAGGAAGGAACAAAGATATGTTATGAATTCTATTAAATTAAAGGCATTAACCTAAGCAATTTTTAATTGCATATGTAGAGACGAGTACGCGAGGAACGACTTTCTAACTTTGTTGTTGCTGCTTGTTGGCGACGATTACAGAAAGACGTTCTTGTCTGTGTAACGATCACATTTATAGTTTTTTACTCCCTCAGGATTGATGACGTTTGGCGGATTTCTGAAGTTCCTGCTTAGCGACGACAACAAAGCGTGCAGTGACGAGTGCTTCATGCTGAACAAGGAGAAAATGAATGAACCACTGTGCCACTACTTCATTAGCAGTTCGCACAATACCTACTTGAGCGGTAGGTTGTGCTCTTCTTTGATATTGTGAATTTCAAGTTTTTTCTTGCTGTCTCTTTTTAGGACCTCAAGTTGGTTTGTTGTCCAAGTGCTCGGTGGAAATGTACCGACAGGTGCTTCTGTCAGGATGCAGATGCGTGGAACTGGACATTTGGGATGGCCGACCATCGGAAGGTGGTTGTGGAAGTGTGCCAGTGGTCACTCACGGTCCTACAATAGTGACCAGAGTGCCAGAGCTGCCCTTTCAGGCACGTCGATGTTTCCTTCAAGAAGGTGCTTAGCTGTGGAACAGAAACAACGGCGTTGTATCGTTTTTTAGGAGGTGATCCAAGCGATCGCTGAGTACGCCTTCAAAACATCTGTATATCCTGTCATTCTGTCGTTGGAAGTCCACTGCGGGTAAAATTTTTGTTTACGCTTGTATTAAATTTAAATCTGCAGCTACTAATCGACTTTTACTGATTTTATCTGATGGTACCAATTATTGCAGGGGTCAAGACATATTTAAGTAACTGAACGATCCTGAGGTGACCCAGAAAACTCTAATATACTTTCTAAATCCATAATCATTCGCTGCGAAATCAGGCAATTCCCGTGTTTCATAGATGAATTATAAGGAAGATGAACAGCATCACTGATGAACACCATTTTTTCAGCAGGAAAAATAGAGTTATGTCACAGACAAAAAAAGAAAACGAAGGTATTTGGAATGGCATATCGAGCCCCCCCCGAAAACGGTTTATTTCTGCACAACGCGAATATTCTGGTCGGTACCGAAGGTCTTCTGGCTTTAGATTTACGAACTGCCGCCGACGGTCGGAAGGACTCCAAAACTTACGTATCTCTTTGCCTTGAAGAAGCCCATGAGACACGGACCGAAATCGGTGCTGGTCATTCAGTCTTGAGGATATTGTTTGAGTTGTGTACGAGTAAACTGTTTTATGCTGTTTTCAGTATGACCACAGAAAAACGAACGAATTGAATATTCAATCAACTGATTGATCAAGTTATTTTCGATGTGCATAAGTAAACCATGTTTAGTGCTGCTCATGTAGGAGAATAAATTGCAGGAGATTAAAGGAAACAAATATGGTCATAATTTCGACACGTCATAAAGAATGAAATTTTTAGATAAAAAAAGACAAAAAAATGATGGAGCAAGTAACAAAGTAAAACACGCACAATACAATAGCAGAAACATACTATTAATCGTACCTGGCCAGAGAGCATGGCTGAAGATAGCACAGGGGTTGAACTTAGATAAATCTTACAGCAGTTCAATACAATAGCCAGCAGATACCTGAGAAGGTGAGCTGAATAAGGTATAAATGGCCTGTGAAAGAACACGGCACTCGCGATGACGTTGACAAATTGCTATGATGCAGATGTATACCGGGGCAACCACTCTGCAAACTTCCAGAGGATTGTGTTGAGGATGTGAACTGTCTTCAGTATATTACTCACTATACGAGACTTCATGTGCGATGATAATTGTTTAATGGAAAGCAGCCCGTCTATGACACCAATATAAAACACCGTAGACTTGCCGTAGGGTGGTCATAAGTAGTAGTTCAGAAAAACAACAGCAGTGACATACGTACAAATGTGTGGAACACAGACGGCTAAGTACTTTCAGTGGAGGGAGTAAGTTTCTCAGCTTTTTTACATTAAAACACACAGAACTAGCAAAATATCACTAGTCTCAGGGGAACGAGTGACGAAGATATGTGGCGTGTGCTGTAAATGCTTTAAAGAATCTTTGTGAATGGTCACAACTCGCGAAGACAGTACCGTGGGTTCATGCTTTCTATGCACGCCCGTGCACATGTTTAAGGTTTCTTGATTTGGAACTTGTGGAAGTACAGATTCCAGCATGCAGAAAAGATGCATCTTCATATATGTCTTTAGGGCAGGTGGAAAAACGAAAGAACGTCTAAATCGATCTGACAGAGAATCATTGCCCACCGTAATATGTTGTGTGCCGGAAGTGGTCTGATAAGCCTACCAAGAACCCTGAAATCAGTAGCCGACACGACGTTGGCAATCAGTATTCACAAAGATTTTTATGCTTCTAACTCAGAACCTTGTAGTAGGAGAAGAAGGCTCTGGTTAAAGAGTCAAACAGAAGGTTAATGGGCAGACCACTGTCGTTACCGAAGAAGCAACATTGTCTACTCGCTAGACAAAGAATGATCGCTCACTGCAGGCAATCCACATCGTATCAAAGATATGGTGATAAATCATGTAAGGAAATTCTTGGCGAGTTATGAATGACGCAACTCTGGCAAATGCTGCCAAACTTGTCT